AAATTTTTTTTATTAAAATTTTGTCTCGTAATACCATTATGACGTACTCATATCTCTATTGTTTTGAAATTATGGCAAGAGTTTGTGAAGCATCAATGCTCGTATCCTTCTGTGCTGTGTACTAATTGAATTAATTATATTTTACGAAAATTAAAAACGAGACACTATTTGAAACAACATTGTTAAGAGCTCAAAGGTAAGTACACCGGAAATTCGTTATGTAGTGTTACCTTCATAGCTCTCAATTGATTTATTAAATCTTGAGAATAACTTCGATATTTTACAATTGTGTGCTCATCTTTAAATTTCATGTTTACGAGCTTTCTAATAATAAAAATTTTATCGTGAGCATTTTTTTCATTATACTTAATAAATTATTAATCATTATATCATATATATATATATATATATATATTAATATAAGAAAATAATTTTGAGAATACTAATTTAAATAAAGTTTTTCACTAACCATATATACTCACATACATACATACATACATACATACACACACATATATATATATATATATATATAAGATACGGTATGTTAATTTGTTTAATCAATCCCAAGAAAATTGACCTCCTGCTCCTGCAGCTGCTCCGGAATCTCATTGGAATGCTCAAACCAAGTGATCAGATAATCTTTCACCACTCTATAAATACTCCTTCAACCTATACCACCTTTCCATCAATACACCATCCATCAAAATCAAATTCAACAAAACCTTGTGATTTTGTTTAGATCGACAAAGAGGGTTTTCAAAGATGAAGATGAACACTCGTTCAACTGTCTTGTGCGTTGTCTTCCTGGTTTCCTTCATCTTCTTCCTCAGCGAAGCGGCTGTGCCATGCAGCACTGTGGACATGAGAGCAGCGGCCTGCGTAGGGTTTGCCACAGGCAAGGACGCAAAGCCGACTGCTACATGCTGCTCAGGGCTGCAGCAGCTCGCTCAGACAGTCAAGACTGTGGACGATAAGAAGGCTATTTGCCGCTGCTTGAAGGCCGGCGCCAAGTCTCTCGGCGTTCAAGACAAGTTCTTGAGCCAGATCCCACAAGCTTGCAACATCAAAGTTGGCTTCCCGGTTTCCATCTCCACTAACTGCGAAACGTAAGTCACATTTTCTATGTGTGTGTGTGTGTATATATATTTATCTCTGTAGAGTCCCAAGGCTCCAAGGTTCGATATATATATATATGCACATTATATTTTAGACACGACTACAAAAAATTTTCTGGTGAAATTTCTTATTTTAGGTATTAACAACTTGTCTTTAACTTGGTCAGAGAGAGATTTAGTCACGACGTGAAAAGTACTCTTTACTTACTAGCTAATATATATATATATATATATATATATATTATGTGTAAACGATAACCAATTAAGTGTATAATATCTTTTAAACCACCATTGATTTCATAATGTGGGCTTTGCAGGATTCACTGAACTGCTATGAAGCTCAAGGACGAACTGATAGAGGAGTATTATGATCTTAGAACGAGAGAGGAAATAGCATATATGAATAAAACAGTTGGGGCAATCTTTATTGTACCAGACTTTTGGCCTTAAATTATTGATAATAAAATTATATTTCTTCGTTAATGTCTTCCTTTAATTTGTGATTATACATAACAATTAAGTAAATTCATAATATAATCGAAATACATAGCCAATTTTATTTTTTTTAAGTAAATTCATACGTTAATTAATTACATCAAAGAAATATATTGATTACAATATAAAAAAAGTAACTTTCGAAAACATAATTCGATTCGAACTAACGAATTCTTGGAAAAATCGAGGTCTGTAGATATTAGAAGCATCCTTAGAGACAATGCAAGTTGGATATGGTGTATTTTTTTGTAGAAGTGTGGGTTCGATGGACTCGAACGAGATTGAGTTCTTGAGCTAGGAGCAAGCCATGGTTCAGTAAGCACAATCTATATGATTATTAAGAGAGATTTTCTAGTTGCGATAGCTTTGGATTCTGAGCAATTCGATCCAATGGAAGTTAAACAACATCTACATGTACTTGGTTCAATGGTGTCCTTGTTTTGTTGAGCCTCCGATGTTTTCTCGGACGGTGTTGTATTCATGCGAAGCAGCCGTGCCATGCAGCAGTGTGGAAGCCAAGGCAGTCGCGTGTGTTGGGTTCGCCACCGGGAAGGACGCCGTGGCTTCTGGCGCATGCTGCAGTGGGCTGCCGCAGCTGGCTCAGAGTTTGAAGAGTGTGGATGATAAGAAAGATATTTGCAGGTGCTTGAAGGCTGGAGCTAAGTCGTTGGGTGTCCAGGACAGGTTCTTGAGCAAGATCCCTCAAGCTTGCAATATAAAAGTTGGCTTCCCTGTTTCCATTTCCACCAACTGTGATATGTAAGTCTCTCAATTTTTTTTTTCATATATGTATATACATACATACTCATATATATATATATATATATATATATATATATATTGTTTTAAGACAGGGTGAGAGTTAGACTTAAACTCAGAATCATCAAATTGTTTTATGAAAGTGTTATATTATTTGAGTTAGATGTTTTTGATCCCATATACATAAATAAATCAATATATATGTAGTAATTGTAATCGATATATATATATATATGTATATATGTTTATGTTTCTTTTCATTGCATTAAACTATGTGGATTTTGCAGAAAAAATTATATACTTTAATAATTAAGTAATATTTCCTTATCAATTACAGAACAACTAATAATACCATAAAGTTATAGTAAGAATACACATACATACAGTTCAATTCAAGTCTACAATCTTATATTTAAAGAGGGGCAGAAGTAACAAGCATTCCACCAAGAAAATGTTGGTCGATATGATTATTTTCAAAACATGCATATATATATATATATATATATATATGTACATTAGTACAGTAACAATTCCAAGGCCAAGGAATGAAATTTCATCTGAAAGAACTGAAATTGTTAGATAAATAATCCATTAACAAAGCAAATCCAAATTTGAGTTTGTCAGTGATTCTCTGTATACAAACAAACACAAGTTATCACCAAGGAATTTCCTGACCATCCCAAGCAAAGAACTTGCCATTGTCATTGCTCTTTGCATTTTCAATTATATGCAACAGCTTCTGCACTGAGAACTCTTTCGTGAAAAGCTTGCATTCCGGGACGTTTCTCTGAAATGGCCGAGATAGATCAGTGTCAACCGTGCCTGGATGTAATAGAATGCATACGATTTGATCCCTTTTCCGAGTAAGCTCTACCGACACTGTTTTTGTCACTGCAACAAAAAGTTGATAAAAGAACTGTCAATATTTTTCAGCGTTCTTCGAAATTTCTTTTGATAAGAATGCAAAAGAATCTTAGGGCAAATAACTTGCTGAAAGATCTGATAGCTAGCTACCAACAAACCCAAAATGCCACAGAGAACAGAAAGCTTGTACAATATTAGTGAAGGAATGGGGTTTGTACTTGTTGGATGCCTGTTAAATTTGTAAAATCCCACCCCTACTTTGTGCATTGATTTCTATATAATATGTAGGGTAATAATAGAAATCTTACTTGAAAAAACTTCACCTAAATAAGTTCCTTATATAGAAATACGCAGTCCAATCCTCACTCTATTTTGATGGATAAACACATCCTCCATTCTTATTGTGCATGTGAGGGGTCAAGTATGAAAAATCTTTTTCAATGCAACTACTTCCAATAGAAGAAAATTGTGGAAATGATCAGTACACTGATTAAGTGCAGTTTTTGAAGATCGATAAGCATGCCAACCCCCGAGACGATTGTCCCCGATAGATCCCACTCTAGCACTTAGATTGGCAATAACCGCGACGTCCCTGTTAGTCCCAGAGCCTCCCCCAACCTTAAGGAGCGGCCACATATGCTGCTAACAAAAACCACAAATAGAAGTAGAAATGCCAATGACTTTCACTGATGAACAATGTCAAAGTCTTATTAGGAAGTAGTATATGAATCTAATTTCTTTTCTTCTTGTGTTCATATGTTATTTTCCAATTTTACCTTTTATACTTATTACCTACTTTGGAGAAATTCTTTCCAGATTGTTCTCTACTTCTGTTACTAAACTGCAAGCCAAACTGTACAAAAACAAATTCCGGGATGACTCGGAACTCAAAATTGGCCATTAAAGATTTAAACTTGAATATAGTGCAAAATTAGCTAACCTCACAGCTTTTCTAGATACATTGAACAATATGAGAAAGCAAAAGAGCCTTACCTTTATCACTAGTATAGGACCAACTGCATTAACCTCATAAGCAAGCATTAAAGATGACTTCTCAACCCTGTTTAATGTTGTCTCTGTACTGGAAATTAAAGGGAAAGAGTAATTTTCATTCCCACATTAGAAGGGAATTAAAAAGAAAACAAAAGAGTAAACAGTCCAACCAAACTCCTAGCAATTAGGTAACCGAATGACTGAAGTTCAAGCTGACTGACTAGCTTAAAAAGTTACTAGGCCATTTCTATCCGCTCCCTCAAAGATAAGCTTAATGTTCCATTAAACAATTACTAACCCAAAGCTCCTACCTGGTTGTAGCACGTTAGGTATTGAAAGAATGCCGGAAGCATTAATGAGAAGGTTCAGATAGCCATATCTTTCTTTTATGGACCTCGCAGATGCCTGAATAGGATATTTGACCAAGAAACAACAAATGTTAAACTAAGATATGATTTATATATAGCGCTGCACTATATCGCATTGTTGAATTGCAAAGACAAGAAAAGAAAACAACTCAAAACTAAAGATGTCATTAGGTTTCCAATTCAAAAGTTGTAAAATTCCCGTGTTCTTTTTGGTCTCATATCTATTGAGCTAAATTAACGCTGGAAAGGACAAATTAATACAGTTGAGAGAAGATGAAATGACTCGGAGAAAATGAATACATTATATTTTCCATTGATGGTTCCTCTTCATACAAAAGAAAAATGGAACCAAGAAAAGAAAGATGTCATGTAACCTCTATAGTGCTTTCTTTGGTAACATCCAGCTCTAGAATGTTGAGGCGTTCTGTAAACTTATTTTTCAAATCAAGAAGACCAGTTGCCCCATTAGGATCACGACAAGTGGCTATAACATGGCCTAGCTCGTTTTTCTCCAGAAGCTGTTTAACCTGCATGAGAAATGGAAAACAAGGCCAAGTTAGAGCAGCTAGAATTGACTAATTGTTAATTCACATTGGATACTGATCACAAAGAGAAGACCCAATTTCATTCTCCCTAAACTATGCACAAGTAACATTTTGGTGCAAACAACATCTCACTTCTGCAGCTTTGATAAGGCAGAGCCTGTCATGTTTGCACATGTGAAACCTGCCTGGCAGAATTTTCATTAGTTAAAGTGGATTGGATAAAGCTCATTATGGACCCATAAATTTTCTTATGTGAATATAAACACTTATTTTCAGGATCTGCAGATTTTACTAATAGAAGGGATATAATATTAACATGATAACCAATCATAAGAATGGCAAAAATCAGGAAACTTTTTCCCAAAAAAATATGACAATGGCAACAAACTCTAGTATGACTTGCCAAACAAAGAAGGTCTCTAGGTTGGGTTTTTTTGTAGTCAAATGTGCTTAGAGAACATTTTTATTAAAAAATAAGCTTATGGGTGTCTGGATTATTCTTAACGGTATTAAAAGCTATAAAGCTTTTTAGCACAAAAATAAAAGCTCCCTAGAATAGCACTTGTTAAGAGCTTTAAATGGACAACTAAAAGCTCCTTTTACATTACTTCTGAGCTCAACAGCCCTTGTCGAAACGAAATATTGCACTTGCAACTTATTTTAAAGAATAACTATACCATTTTTAGATATTTTACTACATTTTTCAGCTTAACACTTCAATATTAACAAATACTTGACAGCTTATTAATGTCTAAAAAGCCAGGAACAAAAGCCAAGTATCTAACCATTTTTCCTACTTAAAGCACTGTAAAGTTATAAGTTCATTAGAGCTAAAAATTCTATGCATTTAAAGCGCTAAAAATTAATAAGTCAATCCAAACACCCCCAGAACAAAATTAGAAAACTGGAGTCTGAAGTGACTTTTCTATTAACCATTCAGCCCAAGAAATTTAATTGGAGCTCAAACTGGACTACTAAGAATCTTATCAGAGTTGCGGGATACCTAAGTAGTGACCAAGTGTCCCAAAAAATTAAAGTTGACATGAGAGGATCAAACTTATTATTCTATATTATATGTTTACACCACCCTTCAAGTGGAAGCAGGATTTTGAACTTAGCCTATGAGCCAAACTCCAAATAAAGCATAGAAATGCAATAGTGAGCAACTAGAAGTTCAAGGCAAAGAAATATTGATGAATTTTGTATGTTTCCAAGGCCCAATAGTGAATCAAAAGAACGTTGACTAAAATAATTATGATACCAGTTCTGATTATGATATCATGTAAAATAATTAGGTTTTGGAAATAACGAGACTAACTATATGCAAAAAATAAATTGGGCTATTTCTATCAAGTTTAAGCTTTTTCAGATTGTCACCAAAGTTTGAATCCTGGCTATCCCCTTTTTATACTCAACATAAGCATGGTGGATGTATGCTTTGTACATGCTTAGTCAACATATGCAAGAGAAGCCATGGTGAAACATATAAATAACCAAGTAGGCCCATATCTTATCAAGTTTAAGCTTTTGGAAAAATTATTCACCTTAATTCAAATATTTCACAAAAGTGTTCCCTTGTTCTAGGCTTCACATCCAAGAATGATGAGAAATACACACGAAGAATTTTTTTTTTTTTGGAGAAAATATGCATGAAGAAGATATCAAAAGATTTGGGGACGAGCAATTTGCTGTAGTGCTTGACCAACATAATCAAGTAATTCAGTATTTTGGCGTAGGGCTTTGATAATTTGGTTATGGAAACAACTAAAATAATGGCAGTTGGTTAATGCAAGAAATCACTTAATAGTGCATCAAGGGGGCAGGGTTAGGCACATAAGCGCACAAACAGTTATAACCTTGAAACAGAGTGACACAGCTGAGAATCCTTGACGTAATAGACAATTGTAAGATAATTAATATTCAGGAGCTCAAGTTACTTTTTTATTGCTACAGTAGTCATTTAATTCATGCAAGTAGGAATAGCAGCAACATTCAGATTCCCTGAGTCAGATATTGAGGAACCTGAAAGCAGGATACAGTCTAGTGTTTGCAATCCTCAAAGACTCATGATATCCTTGCAATATCAATTCTAGTTGTGCTAGAATAATCTCTATGGAATATTTTAGACCGAATAGATTCATTTGTTTAAGGTAATGTGATTAGTTGAAGAAGTAAGAAACAAAATCTTACGCCCATTTTTAAGTTTAGAAGCAAAATTAAGCAAACTGTAAGTCATTTGAAATTTATTGTTACTTGTGCAATGTCAAATTCATGGAAGCAATAGCAACATCCTTCCTATCATATTTTGCAACCAAAAGAAGATTTGCTTTCACATAACAAACTGGGCCGAATGAATATCTAAGCTCTACCTTTGAGCGTTAAGGAAATTAATAATAAGGGACATTGTTAATTATCCATTTATCATACTTATTCTGTCCATTTTTTGCTCTTATCTTATCGGCCTTTGGTTGTGCAAATATCCAATATGGGTATGGATTAAAGTAAAAAAAGCTTATAGGAAGTATTATAGAATATACTTTATAAATAGTGATAAATTAGATTAAAGGGTGTTACAGTAAAAGACACAACTTGTAGACGTGTTGATTAAGACTTGAGTAATCTAATATTCCAAACTATCATTATCAAATTGGGGATAAATAATATCTATTTCCAAATTTGAAGAGAAATGTTAAAGAATATACTTTATGTATGAATAAGGCTAAACTAGATTAAAGGATATTGAAGTAAAATACACTCGGGTGTTAAAGTAAAATACACTCTTTGTAATTAATTGTAATTTTTCTTTTTCTTATCCCTAAAATTTGTATATATAGGGACATATTATTCAATGAGAATACAACACAATTATTCCTGACAAGAAGGTAAGATAATATACTATATATAACAAGATACAGTCTTTAAGACCGGCATAGAAAAGAAAGATATAGATTCATATTTGCAATGAAAAAAATTGATTCTAATTAAGTAATAAATAAATAGTTGATTTACTTGGGTATGCAAAAATGTTAAAAATTTAGATATCCAAGGACTAGCTTTTTTTTTTCTTTTGCTTTTTTACAACTCATGACAAAGGAGTCTTTATCATCTTCTTCATATCATCATACATCATTGTCCCTGGTTCAGGATTATCGAGTGCCTGACATGAAAACAAATTGTAGGACAGAGATCCCACACCTACCCCAATGTCATGTCAAGTTATCTCTGACACTAAAACTAGATTCCAAGCATAAAAGTTTAGCTCTAATTCTCCTTCAACAAAAGGCATTCAAAAAATCAGTATGAGTCACTTTGAAATAGTAAGCAATATGAGTTTAATCCTAAAGTCAATCAGTGCAGTTAACAACATTAGTCAACATAATCATGAATGAAATTGACGCTGATGGAAATATCTATGCGTCTGGAAAATAAGGATTATCCACTCTATTTAACCTTTCTCTGCCTAACCTTTAGAAAACTAGCTTAACCTTTCTTCATTTCTGCGGAATAGGAAGATTTTTTTGGCATCTCTTTGTGATAAGGTTCATGGATTTTCCTTTCCATTCCAAAGAGGTAGGCAAATGGTCAGTATTATTTTTGTTTTCTTTCTTGTTTGATGAGGATCTCTTATCCTCCATTGATGTTTCTTTTTAAATTTACCTTTTCTAACAGTACTTCTTTTATCAAAAAAAGACTAGCTTAACAACACTATGAGATTAAAGACTGATAATATGACTTGATTCTGTAACCTTTGCTTGGGAAAAACTCAGGCAGCTTTTTCTATTTACAGCTGAAATTGGTGTTTTAAACAAGGACATATATATATATATATATATAAAAAACATAACTTAGTGAGTGCTTCTTATTAATATTAAATATTTTATTTTATTTTTTAAATAATTTATTTTCTAATTAGTCTTAGCTACACTATGAGATCAAAGAAATTGCAATGTTTGTTTAACTTTCAGAGGAAGTTAAGCAGACTCAAGAGTAAAGAAACAGAAACAAATAAAGAATTTCTCAAGGTATGATTCAACACTGGTTCACCAAAAATGAGTATATTAATTAACTTGAGCACTATAACACTTGAGAACAATAACTGATCCAAATTCAAGATTGTGTTTGGTTTGGATGATTTTTTTCTATCCTTTTCTAATTATTTTTCTCTGTTCTAAAGGCTCCGTTTATGTTAATTCCAGAACAGAAAAGACCCATCACTTGTAAGAGCCAAATTATAACACTACCATGATTTCTTCTTTCCTAACTTCATCATTTAAACAAGCATAGAACAGTATATGAAAGAGATACAGAGAATAGGGAGAAGAAGAATAAGAAGAAAGAAAGCTCACAAATTCAAGGCCAATTCCTCTAGAAGCTCCTTGCACCATTGAAACCCCACCTTCCCATTTGAGAGCCGAATCTGAAGATGATGTAAAAGCAAAGGTTCTGTTTCTTCTCAAAGACATTAATGGCGTTACACCCACTAACGAACGGTAACCCATTACCCAGACCTTCATCTTGTTCTGCATTTAGATTTGAAAGATGGGAATGGCGAGAAAGAAGATAACGAGTGACAGTCTTCAAAACCCTCCCAACGGCCTGGCCAGACCCATAAACTTTTCTTTCTTAAAAATTAAAACTTTTTTTTTTTATGAAATTTTAAAAATTAAAACTTTTTAATATAATTATGGGATTTAATATTTACCATTTCATTATAATTTCTTAAAAAAAATATTGAAAATTATTCTGAAATTAGTTTTTATAATTTTGAAATATTTTTTATTTACTTCTTTCCATTAATAAAAGTTAATACTTTTAAATCAAGTGTCATATATCAAATGTATTAATATGTATTACCTTCTAACTACTCTAAGTATTAGTTAAATGTCACGTAAGATGTTATATGATATTTGATATAGTACTAAAAAAAATTTGATATAGAGCGGTTCAAATCAATTTACAAATTTAAAAAAATGGTCGTTGTCTCAATCCTAAATCTCGTTTTTCTCCTCTACGCAGAGACTTTAAATAGTCTCATTGATGCATGGTCAAATGAGCTCCCCTCTCTTTTTTTAGTCTAACAATTAGAGGACACAATGGTCAAGCACAATTGCCTTCAATGGCTTGCACTCGTATGGGCATAATCTTTTATCCCATTAAGGCCTCTAGAATAAGTCCTTTGGTCGAGCACAGTCGCCTCTATTGTCGTCGTAAAACCACTATTGTAAGGCCATCTTGAAGTTCTATTGTCCTTCGATCAAGGTACATGATCTTTACCTTTATATCTATTACTTGTCTCTTTTGAAGACCCTTTTGTTTTCTTATGGAACGAATTTCTCCAAATGGATTCATTAAAGTCCAAAACTTTATTATAGTATATAGAGTCATTTCAAATTTTATGGGTTGTCTACCATTCTTTAGAAATCGATAGCCAAATATATCAACTATTATGTTAAAAGGATCCTCATTTTCTACGGAGAACTTAACATTATCATCACCATATAGCCCAAGTATGTTTAAGGTGCTTCAAAACACTTGAGTCACCTACATAATTGACTAAGTTTATCCTAACTCTTCCAAC